ACTGCTCGTTAACACTTAATTTCTAAGCAGCCAATCACATGGCGGCAACTCAGTGCATTTAGGCATGTAGACATGGTCAAGACAATCTCCTGCAGTTCAAACCGAGCATCAGTATGGGGAAGAAAGTTGATTTGAGTGACTTTGAACGTGGCATGATTGTTGGTGCCAGAAGGGCTGGTCTGAGTATTTCAGAAACTGCTAATTTACTGGGATTTTCACGCACAACCATCTCTAGGGTTTACAGAGAATGGTCCGAAAAAGAAAAAACATCCAGTGAGCGGCAGTTCTGTGGGCGGAAATGCCTTGTTGATGCCAGAGGTCAGAGGAGAAGGGCCAGACTGGTTCGAGCTGATAGAAGGGCAACAGTGACTGAAATAACCACTCGGTACAACCGAGGTATGCAGCAAAGCATTTGTGAAGCCACAACACGCACAACCTTGAGGCGGATGGGCTACAACAGCAGAAGACTCCACCGGGTACCACTCATCTCCACTACAAATAGGAAAAAGAGGCTACAATTTGCAAGAGCTCACCAAAATTGAACAGTTGAAGACTGGAAAAATGTTGCCTGGTCTGATGAGTCTCGATTTCTGTTGAGACATTCAGATGTTAGAGTCAGAATTTGGCGTAAACAGAATGAGAACATGGAACCATCATGCCTTGTTACCACTGTGCAGGCTGGTGGTGGTGGTGTAATGGTGTGGGGGATGTTTTCCTGGCACACTTTAGGCCCCTTAGTGCCAATTGGGCATCGTTTAAATGCCACGGCCTACCTGAGCATTGTTTCTGACCATGTCCATCCCTTTATGGCCACCATGTACCCATCCTCTGATGGCTACTTCCACCATGTCACAAAGCTCTAATCATTTCAAATTGGTTTCTTGAACATGACAATGAGTTCACTGTACTAAAATGGCCTCCACAGTCACCAGATCTCAACCCAATAGAGCATCTTTGGGATGTGGTGGAACGGGAGATTCGCATCATGGATGTGCAGCCGACAAATCTGCGGCAACTGTGTGATGCCATCATGTCAATATGGACCAAACTCCCTGAGGAATGCTTCCAGCACCTTGTTGAATCTATGCCACGAAGAATTGAGGCAGTTCTGAAGGCAAAAGGGGGTCCAACCCGTTACTAGCATGGGGTACCTAATAAAGTGGCCGGTGAGTGTATATCTATCTATTTATGTCTTTTTGTATTTTATTTTATTTATTTATTTAAATTTATTGGCTACATAATGCGGGACAGGGGAAAATGTTTGAGTCACACTGTTTTTGTAATTTATTTATTAAAATTTTTGTTTATTATTTTTATTTATTTTATATTTATATATTACATTCATTTAATTTATTATTTAATTTAATTCATTAATTTATTGGCTGCACAATGCGGGACTGGGAACAGGGAGGAAGAGTGTTTGGGACACATTATTTTTGCAATTCATTTATTTATTTTATATTTTGGTTTATTTATTTTATTAATTTATTTTTTAGTTATGTATTGTATTTATTTATGTTATTATTTTTAAGTTTATTTTTGTAAATTATGGCAACACAATGTGGGACATGGAACAAGGAGGAAGAGTTTTGGGACACATGATTTCAAAATAATATTAATAATAATTGTATTAATTTTATGTAAATGTATATATTTCGAGGCAGAGGCAGAAGGTGTGTTTGAGGAAACATTGTTTTGGCAATTTCGTGTGTGTGTAATTTACCGTGGTAACTATAGTGTCCTTAAATACAATACCATAAAAGCTTCTGACATTGCTTGAAGGAGATTCAAGATTAATTTATTATTATTGTACAGTAGTAGCAATAACCGTAGTAACAATGATATTTTGGTGTAAACATAGTTACCACAGTTCGGTTTTCAGAGAGGCTTACTGTAAAATCGGCATCAGTTGAAGACAGACTAATCCCTAAACACAATCAAATAATTCAGACGAAATGTTGATTTAGGATTTGGGGAAGTTTGGGAAACTGGCCTTCATGTCATTTAACGTTCTACTGCAGGTCTGAATGTATTGGCTTTGAATCAGCTGTTGAATGATCATGTTGTGACGGCGAGTCTATCAACACACACAGGTTTGTTTTTCTATCACGCTGGGACTTTGCATTGACTTCTAGTGTTTTTATACTGAGCTGATGACATTTCTGTCCCCTAACCCTCATGCAACCTCTCTGCATTTTTTACGCTTTCAGTAAGACCTTATTTGTTATGAAGTTTTCCTTGTGGAGACGATTGAAAAGCAGAGGTGCCAACACACACACACACACACACACACACACAAGTTCACACAGAGACTGGCAGAATGAGACTGTATAATAATATGACCGTCTGCATCACATATCAACACCACAAATACATATCAGAGCTGCAAGAAAGAAAACAAACAGTATGAGAGAGATATTCAGATACCCTGTAATTAATTTTATTTAACATTTTGTACTAATTGAGTTTTACATGCCCATTGATTGGCCAGCCTTTGCATGTGAAATGAGAAAAAGCACCACAACCACGTCGAATGGGTGTTAATATGCACATGTTGAGTGGTCAGTGATTATAATAAATAATAAATAATTGATAAAAATAGGATGATTTCTGAACGAGGCAGTTTTGCAGTTTCAAAGCTTCAATAATTGTTTTATATTATTATAAATGGAATAATAATTTTATGAAGAAAGTAAAAAAAGAAAGAAATGAATACTTTTATTCAGCAAGGGCACATTAAAATTGATCAAAAGGGACAGTAAACAGTTATAACATTACAAAAATATTTTTCTTTTTATCAAAATACTGTTATTTTGAACTTACTATTCATCAAAGAATCTTGAAAAATGTATCACGGTTTCCACAAAAATTATGAAGCAGCTGTTTCCAACGTTGATAATAATACAAATGTTTCTCGTCATATTAGAGTGATTTCTGAAGGGTCATGTGACTCTGAAGACTGGAGTAATGATGCGGATAATTCAGCTTTGATCACAGGAATAAATTACATTTTACAATATATTCACATAGAAAACAGTTATTTTGTATTATAATAATATATCACAATATTAGTGATTTTCCTGTATTTTTTCATCAAATATATCTTACTGTAAACCCGAAAAGTTGGGAAAACTCAAAAAATGTAAGGCAATCAGTTGAAATTATGAATTATGAAATTCAAAGTTTAAACAAAACTGGCAGATTTTTATTTTGTACTCATACATCTTGAAATGTTTGAGTACACTAATTCATACATTTAACTTAAAACTTTCATGTAATCTCAATGTGAACATTTTAATTTGTATAAACTTAGCTAGCTTTAACAAGCTAGTTTGCTAACATAGTAATTTGTTAACATGTTAACAATAGTATGTTATACAGTAGCACCTAAATAAAGGTTTTATTTGCTCTCAAATCATTCTGCATGCACCACTTGTCACTATGATGGTAACTATCCTAAAACCAACATTAACAGAAATTATTCTAAATTAGCATAACAAAACATTAATCAATAATCTCTCACTTAACATTAATCTTGCAAAAAAAAAAAAAACACTTAATTACACTTAATTTGAGCATTTACTCTCCCTTTCGAGTGCCATCGGCAAAGCATGTTGGGAAAAAGACATCCCAGCTGTTTCAGTTAAAGGTGCTCTATGTAGCTTTTCTTCTAAAATGAATCCTTTTTTTATTGCCTGTGTGTGAAGGGGTTGTAATCACACATTACAATGATCCACTTGTCGAGTTTTGCTATTACCTCTGAAGGCAAATATTCATATTTATATGTGAAGTCTCCGGGTCGGATTTACCGTGAAATCCAACGGATGTGACGTGCATGCGCGCTCCCGAGACTCTCTCTTTATATACAGTCTATGCGACCGACGGCACTGCAGCTGACGACATGAGTCTGATAACACCCCAAAACGACCTGCCTCCAGCACAACACACACTCCACAAATATATAAAAAACAAAAAGTTTTATCTGCTGAAGCTCGTCAGGCCAAACGTGATTCTGATCGACTCAGGACGAAAACACGGATCAACATCGGCAGAGCTTTTGAATTATTAGTAAACTCTAATGAAATAGCAAGGTAAACTAAATGAGACATGAAATGAATACAAAAGACTGTTCCAGGATAAGAAAAAGTAGGTGCTTTAGGATGTATACTTGTTTTATGTACTAGATCTACTGTCTAACGTCACTCATCCCACTACTATCATATTGTTTATAATAAACATTTCCAGACACGTTCAGTACAGTAATGTTACTTCCTACTGTCTTACTGTTACACTGAAATTCTTCAGTCTAGTTCACTAACCGTTTTCGTTATCATTATTATACATTCACCTATGTTGACATTGCTGATTGTGAAAGATACACGAATAGTTAGTGAAATGCCGTAGGCTATGCTAGATAACACCACATGTCGGCTAAATGCAGTCAATGTAACGTTATCAAGGTACGAGCATGGAGCATTAGTTCAACGTCAAACTGATAAAAGTAGCCTATTATTGTAACGTTGCAGTGGGAGTTTACATGAGTTTCCAGCATGTTGTGTGATGCTTTCGTCGTTGCGTTGAAAGTCTCCGTGTGGCCGGTAGTGAATGCTCGCTCTTGAGATCGCACATACACACGAGCACGAGCGCTCTTGTTGCAATCTGAAACATCACCACAAGAGGCCGCAAAAAAATACATAGAGCACCTTTAAACTTAAGTTCGTCTAAATTAAAATAAATAATTCCATAAAACTCAAAACAATAAAACAGTTCAGTTTACTTAAAATATATCAGTTCTGTGAACTTGAAAGAAAAATAAAGTGCTAAATACTCATAAAAGTTAATTTGACAACTAATTAGTTTAATTTCAGTTTGTCCTACTCAAACCAATGTATTATTTTTGGCGTTAGGGTTTACAGTCCGACCCTAAACTTTTGAATGATGGTGTATATTGTTATAAATGAATAGGCACAGTTCTAGTGATGTGACTGTTTTCCCGTCAGATGTGGACGAGTGCTCAGAAGGAAACGGTGGCTGCCAGCAGATCTGTGTGAACATGATGGGGAGTTATGAATGCCGGTGCCGAGACGGGTTTCTGCTGTCCGACAACCAGCACACCTGCATCCAGAGGCCCAAAGGTGAGCGCGCATCTCAGCACGAGGTAACATCTGAGCGCACTGGAAAGAGTCATCAGTGGACTTGAAGCTCCAGTCCGTAACTTTTTTGGGTTAAAAATGATAAGTACAAAAGCAAGTACATAACCAGCCAGTGTTCAACACTCTCTGCTTGCCTTCGCTCGATTCAAAGCGGTAAGCTTGTAATAATGTTTTTAACTCCAGTGGTACTGGTGGATTTCTGCGGGAAATTCGACCATGTCTTTGCGTCATTACGTCACATCTGTACACACACATCTGTACACATAAAGAAGAGTCTCGGCTAGTAGACTTCGGAGTGGCTACAGAAAAAAAGAGACTGCAACCGGCCCATGGAAAAACAAGGATAAATATCGGAAGGGCATTAAATGTAGACACGCAATGCTGACGTTGTTAACATTAACAATTTGAGAACAAAGTATAACTTGCACGGTTTGACGTGATATGATAAGCGATCGTTAGATTTAATCAGCGCGATTTAATGCAATGTTTTTTTAATGCAATGTTTTTTTTAATGCAAAGTGGTTAAATGTTACTTACTTGTTCAGATGACGTTTAAGGGTGAAAATTATTATGTTGGTCATACTTCCAAAAAGAGTAATCTGTGATTCTGAATGCCAGTATCCACACCGGCGCGGTGACTGACACACACACACACTCTCCTCAAACATTGTGTTCATCCGCGCTGTGCCGTGTCGAGGTACAACTCACGTAAAGTTGATAATTCCGCGAATGACTGCAATTGCAGATTTCTAACAGAGATGGAGACAAAGAGGAAAAACTGCGGACTGCAGCTTTAACGTAAAAAAAAATTGAGGAAACCCGTTATTAAGTAAATAAACGTCATGCTTAATTGAAAAAAAAAAGTAATGTGGAATTGTCAGGTTCACATAACTTAATTTTTTCAATTAAGCATTACGTTTATTTACTTATTAATTTTAAGGCAACTGGTTTACTAAATGTTAGTAAGTACACTGAACACTTTTTACAGTGCAGTGTATAGTACTTTTTTTCTCTTGTCATTAAACATTTGGATGACCTTCTAGATTTGTTTAACGGTGCATTATACAACCGAGCAAAAACACAACTGTGTCTCATAATGCAATTGAAGAATCTCTTTATGTCTCATTATTTGATTGGAGTATTAAATCAGAGATGTAAAATAACAATTTCATTTGCATAAATAAATCACTTGATACCACTCATATGCAATGGTCATGTGACAGCCTGTGTTATTTTAGTATTATTTAATGATTTGGCATTTATTTTTATGTTATTTTTTTATTTTAGTTTTAGTCTAGGTTTTAGTAGATTTCAGTGCTTTTGTCATTTTTATTATATTTATTTTATTGTTTATTAAAAAAAATTTATATATATATTTATATTTATCTTTTTTAATTCAGTGTTAGCTTAAAACTAATTATATGCCAGTTAGTTGCAATAGAAACATTTCTAATATTAATTTAATGTTTTTAGGTTTTTCATCTTTTATTTATTTGTTTGTTAGTTTGATTTTATTTTATTTTGGTTTTGTTGTGTTATGTTATGTTATTTTAGTTTGGTTTATTTTTATTTTATGAATTTGGTTTGTATTATATTATATTATATTATAGTTTAGTTTTATTATTTTGGTTTGGTTTATATTATGTTATGTTATTTTGGTTTATTTTGATTTTATTTTTATGATTTTGGTTTATATTATATTATATTTTAGTTTGGTTTATTTTTTATTTTATTCTTTTATTTTATTTGATCAAAAACTGAAAATGGGGTTTTAATAGTGTCATTTTAGGTAAAAGTACAACACTAATGACAGCATGCTTTTGTTTCACTCTGTATTTTTTAAACTAGTAGTCTGTATACATTACACACTGCATAATATTCAGTAAGTATAAGCATGAATTTGGTTCTGAACACGTTTACGTTGAGAATGAACAATATCAGTGTAAAGCCGAATCTCAGGAGAAGCTTTTGTCCCGCTGAACTCTTCAATGTTTGCGTTTCATAAGCACACTGTTATTTGAGTCTTGGATCGTATGTTTCAAGGCCTTTATTGTCTATATTCGGTCGGGGTTTTTTCCTGTTGGAATGAGGTTGATAAATACCGTTGTTAATCCCTCATATTTCATGTTAATATTAGTTTTATTGCTCCCAGATTAAAACCTCTTGGAGGCCTCAAACCGGGGTTCATGAGTTAGCCAATAATTATTTAAAAAGGTAAAAATGTCAAATTAAAATTAAGAAATAATTTGAAAAATAAAAACAATTTTAAAATGTTAGAAACGATTTAAAAAACGATGTTAAAGTTTTAATTTAAAGATAAAAAAATTATGATACAATTGTTTACCTGCATATAATGTGACCACTGACCAGCATTACAGAACCATGAAAATGCAAATGACTTGTTCAGTTATTGAAATATTAATATTATTGATTTTTTTTAAACGTTTTAAAAATTAATATTACTATTAATTTGTATAATATTAAACAATTTATTTATTTTTTATTGAAGTATTAATACTATTAAAAACGTTTTAACTTTTTTTAATAATAATAATATTACTTTTTAAAAATATTTCTATAATATTTTTAAGTATTAATATGAAACATTTTAAATATTTATTAATATTAAAACTTAAAAAAAAATGTTTTACCTTTTATTGAAATATTATTATTATTATTAAAAACTTTTTAACTTTGAATATACATATTTGTAAAATATGATGATTATAATCGTACATTTTATTAAAATAATTGTAATTAAAAAATTCAACCTCAGATGTTGCAAATAGGGGATTTTTTTTGGTTGATATAAATTCATATGTCGAATGCTTTGCTGCACAGATGATTTCCAGACGTATAGATCTATGTTGTGTCATTGCATTTTTATGCGCTGTCTGCTGGTCTTCACAAACACGCTCTTAAATAACCGATGAAGTCTCTCAGATGGACACAGAAGTGGAGAATAAGCTTGTAGGAAGTGAAGGCCTGTGTGTGCTCGAGGCAGTGCTGTAATGTCACGCGGAGAACCTGATAATCCAACAGCGTCACTGGGTGTCGAATGCAGAATTGGGGTCTGTTCTGTCACTGACCGCAGGGAACATGCGTCCTATAGCTTTTCTTGTTCATGTCAAAGGTTGTGCGTCCAATCAGACTCTACGGCACAAATTCATCGTGTCTCGGAGATGCACTGGAGGGTGAGCTTGACCTTCAGCCTCCACGTCTCTCAACAACACACTGCAAACTCAAGCCTACACTGTAAAAACTGCTATTTAATTAAAAAAAGGATGGTAACAATATTACACATAATGGCACTGGCAGTCCCTTATGAAAATTAACATTACAGTGATCATAGTTTAACTAGGCCTATAATATTTTGCAGATTTCCACGGTTACCACTACAAGTAAACATTGTAACCACGTGTAAATAAAAATAGAATCTAATAAATTCCAATTAAGGCGTATTGAATGTTAAAATGCCTTTAAAATATAATGTTAGGTGGGTATCATTATCCTTTTTAATCATTAATAATTAACATAGCATTATTAAAAGACTGCATGCTGCTAGCACAGCACATAAACACTGCATTAACATTATAGCAAAGTTTTTACTCAACGAACAAAGCAACACACTTTTTAAAGTATTAATACATGCAGTTATTCACAACCTTGCTATAAGCCCTACACTTCTGCACAATGGTAATGATCAAAACTTCAACATAATAGAAGTTCTTTCAAAGGTGAAACATAACTGAACATTAAACATTAACAGGTGTTTCCCTTTACTCAAAACACATAAAATAACACTTACTTTCAATATTTCCTCTCCATTACCAGCCATGTGCAAAGCATGCTGGGAACTAACAATGTTGTCTCTAAATAAAACCGCATAATTGAGCTAATTCTCTTAAAATAAATTGGTAGCCCTTTTTCCTTAATTTTATCAGCTTAATCGGTTCCTCAATTCAAGCCTCAAAATTGTGTATGTTTCCTTAAACAAATTTGGAAAATGTATCTCTTGGTTTTATTAGTGAAATGTTCTCAATATTTTCTATTCAACACTGAACCACAGTTTTTATAATAAAATATACAAAACATTTTTAATTATCACCTTCATTTTTTTAATTAAAATTACAAAACCCATGATTCATTTTTTACAGTGTATTTAAAAAATAATAACAATACTCTGTTTTCCCTGGAAATGTCACATTATAGGAGGAAGAAAAGGCTTGCGGATGCCATCATGTTGATTTTATTTCACACCGATTTTTGATTTGTCTCAAGTACTTGTCAACCTATAATGCTTTTTTTTTTACTTTTTTAATTTAGGCTGTGTCCAACAAAGCATTTTTTGGAAATTTACATTGGAAATCTTGTGCGTTAAATTAGAAAAAAAATATATTTTAAAGGAGAGCAGAGAACAACGAAACATTGTAAAAATGCTGGTCATAAAAAAATGAGGGTCATAAAAATGGTACCTATAGATAGACATTCACAGTTATGTACAGTAATTCTACAGCTGCTTACTGCTAAATTACAGTAATACATAGACACTAACTAATTTCACAGTTAAATACATTAATTCTACAGCTGCTTACGGCTAAATTACAGTAATAGATAGACACCAACTGTAATTTCACAGTTAAATACATTAATTCTACAGCTGCTTACTGCTAAATTACAGTAATACATAGACACCAACTGTAATTTCACAGTTAAATACATTAATTCTACAGCTGCTAACTGCTAAATTACAGTAATACATAGACACCAACTGTAATTTCACAGTTAAATACATTAATTCTACAGCTGCTAACTGCTAAATTACAGTAATACATAGACACCAACTGTAATTTCACAGTTAAATACATTAATTCTACAGCTGCTTATTGCTAAATTACAGTAATACTAGACACTAACTAATTTCACAGTTAAATACATTAATTCTACAGCTGCTTACTGCTAAATTACAGTAATACTAGACA